AATACTCATCATATAATAAAAATAGTATGAATATAGACGTATTTGTAGGACTTGTGAATTTAGCTACTTTCTTACTTTTTATTTTCTAAGAAGTTCAATATTTAAGTTTCACGGGTTTTTAATTGTTTTCTTACTATCTTCTCTTTCAGAATCGTTTCTTCCTTAGTAAAGTTCGATGGCAAATTTCAATCCTTGCTCATATCGGTTTCGCCATCTCATTTGCTATCCGTTCAAATTTCGGTGTCGCGAAGAGTCGAATGATCACAAATTTCACGGATGCCTGGGGAGAAGATCACGTGAGTTCCGTTACATCGGTTAATACGTCAAAAATAAGCAGTACTAGGATATTAATATACCAAAGTAAAACTGAGCTGTACCAAGTGACTATGTTTTTCTCAAACATAACCCCCATATATAATCCCGTTTCTGGCAAATTACGAAAACAAGAAACGTTCATTGTGTTCACGAACTAAAAAATGTGGTTGCTGCCTTGTCTTTTTGCAAATTTTCCATATCCTGACTACATACACTGGAAAATCTTTGACCCTGCACAGAAGGCGTTGGGGTATCGGGTAGAGGAGTGTTCTCAATGAAAGGTGACTTGGGTCTACTGCACTCGAAGTTCTATTTTAGGGTAAAAAGACTAATTGATTAGACAGGAGTTCACTTTCGGTAATAAAACCTTTTAAATTGAAAGTGACAGCAGGATTAAGCATGACTTGTGACAAAAAATCATTTCTTGAGATTCCCTTCTTTTCCAAAGATGTACCTTTTGAAAAAGAATCATGTGACAGGTTACATATGGATAAAATGAGGCATGGTTAGATGGATTTATGTATTGCTTCTTTAGAAATAAACGCAAGTCATGGAAAGGTCAAAGGTGCTTAGATTCGGGAGCTAACAGGTGCTTTGCATAGTTGAAATATACGGCGCAGCAAAATTTCAGTTATGATTTAACTCAAAAGCCCAACTTTTAGAAATTATTCCGGTTTTTATGCTCCCACCTAGAATTACGAAAATTTATCTTGGATAAAGAAATGCCTTTTTTTCATCATTGTTTACCTTCCAGTTGCTATCAAAATATTTCGAACTTCCTTCTCC